AATGTGTGTCTCAGGAGCCCGTGTCTCTTTCAGCAGCACATCTTCCTCAACCAGCAGTCAGAGAGAGTTCTGTCCCTAGGAGGTCTCCTTTTGAGCCCGGCAGAGTGGTCAAACTAGCCAATCATAGCATCAGAACTCCAAGCACGTGAGAGAGAGTGGGAACCTCCCAGAACATTGTTTTTGTGCCACGCCCAACAGAAATAACCCAGGTGGGCGACTTTAGCAATTAGGATCTCCTCAGTTGCTAATAACAATTCCCACCTTGGAGTTTACAAAGACTTATGGGTAGAAAAGCCATACTAAGTAATTTACTACACCGCAGAGGTAGAATCGAGATGGTGGAAATACAGTGTTTGCTGCAAACTTCTTTCAATTTTATGATGTTTTTCATAATAGAATCTTGGGAGAAAAGTCATGCAATAATTAAGTGCTTAGCAGCTAACCGATAGATTGGCAATTTGAACCCATCAGCTAGTCCATGGGATAAAACACCTAGTTATCCACTCCTGTAAGTATTATAGCCTAGGAAAACCTATGGGAAGTTCTACTCTGTCCTGTAGGGTCACCATGAGTTGGAGTAGACTAGACAGCACACAACAATGCTCAGATCAGAAATGTCCTTGTAAAGGCATAGGGTCTATGGTTATCTCCATAGTAAGACCTCAGGTGGAGCTATTCTTCTCAACAGAACCGGCTCTATCACCCAGGTCCCTTCCCCCAATTGGTGCTGGGTATGAAATTCTACCCTCACTTGAGGCTATGCTTCTCAAACTTGAGTCTATATAACCCCAGGGCTGTGTCACACCACAGATTGGAAGATACTGCATTTTAAGGGGAAAAGTTTTTTTTCTGAGAATTAATGAATCCATATATATATACAGGAAATAAATAAATACATTTTATTTGATGATTTGTAAAGACTCATTTAACTTTGGGGAGCTCTGGTAGCATAGTGCCTGAGGCACTTGATTGCTAACCAGGAGGCTGGCAGTTCAAACCCACCAGCCACTCCTCAGAAGGAAGGCTGGGCAATCTACTTCTGTAGTGGTACCGTCTTGGAAACCCAAGGAGGGGTCACTATGAGTTGGGTCTGACTCGACGGCACTTAACAACAATAACATTTAACTTTTAGAATTCCAATATTATAGCAAATGCAAATATAACAAGGAGCAGAATGCAAAACCTAGATGAACTTAACATTTTAAGGCCCCAAGGACATGTTGTACTTTCCCTGGGATAAATGTGTTTCAGCCTATACTCCCAGATCCTACCTGCATCCACTTCTAAGAAGTCCTGGCTGAACAGATCATCAAAGTGTCTGTCTTATCTCTGTGTCTCTGAAAGGGATAGGTTATTTCTAGGTCAGTTACATCGCAGGTACCTAAATTACTGAGCCTTCCCTGAGCAGGCTTTGATAAGGGTGGGGGACATAAGCCATCTTCCATAGTTGTCTAAGGTGTTTTGTCTCCATTTTATAAAATTAACCAGCTGAGGCTCGATGAAGTTGAAATTACTTGTCCAGCGTAACAAATGGTATAGTCAAGATTCCAACTATAAATTAACCAGTGCGGATCATAGTTAAGCCAAGTCAACTTTAAGAAACAAAGTGGCTCCCAAGCCAAACTAGTGGAATGGGGGCAAAATGAACAAACAGGTTGTGGTTGTTTTTAGGTGCCCTCAAAACACTGCCCAGTCCTTCACCATCCCCACAAACATTGCTATGTTTGAGCCCGTTGTTGCAGTCACTGTGCCAATCCATCTTGTTAGGGGTTTTCCTTTTTTTTCACTGATCCTCTGCTTTACCAAACATGATGTCCTTCTCCTGAGATCAGTCCCTCCTGATAGCATGTCCAAAGTAAGAGAGATAAAATCTTGCCACCCTTGCTTCTAAGGAGCATTCTGGGTGTACTTCCTCTGAGACTTACTTGTTTGTTAGTTATCTCTTAGGGTGGTAGTACAAAGAATTTACACATTTTACTTAATATATATTCCTGTAATATTTGGGTTATTAGAACCAATATGTTTCCTTAACAGTGGTAGCCAACAGCATCAATAGGGTACTCTTAAACACTAACCCTAAGTAATTTCCCTTACCATGGTTTCAACAGACACTGGCCCAGTTATCACCGGATTGTCTACTTCTCATTATAAATGAAAGCAACTTGACAAGTTTCATTCTCTTCCTGCCCCTCCCCCAACCCATCCTAAGGTCTAGCAAATGGGAAGGAGCATTATACAATGCAAGTCAAAGTAGACAAAATAGAGAGTCTTAGCGCAGTAATACACACGAGTTAGGTCAGTCTTGGCCATGTAAAAAGTCTGAGTGTTTTGTCGTTGCTGATTCTGTGTCAGAGAGCAGGTAAAGTGTTCTTCTCTTCATCCATTGCTCTATTATTCAGAAGCCTTTTATTTGCAAGGGACAGAAATCTAACTCAAACTGGCTTAAGAATAAAAATTGGGGTTGGGGCACATTTTATCGGTTCCTATAATTGAAAAATCCAAAGATAGATCTCTTCTGAGGCCAGCTTCAGGCATGGCTGAATACAGGGGCTTACCCAATGTTATCAGGTCTTTCTTTAACTCTTTTCTTTGTCTTTCTCTTGTGGTGACCTTACTACTCTCAGACAGGTCCTCTCCACACTGTGTGCCTGGAAGCTCTAGATTTCCATCCTCTAGCAGAAAGAAAAACTTCTCAATAGTTCCAACATGAATACCAGAATTCAATCTCATTGGTTCAACTTAGATCACACGTTAATATCTGCATGACTCACTGCAGCCAGGGGAATGGAATACCCTGGCTGGTCTGACCTGAATTGTATCACTTTCCACTTCTCACAGAGCTAGGGTGAGAAATCAACCCCACCAGAACCACATAGAATGAAGGTGGTTACCCAAAAGGAATGGGAAGTGAATGTTGGGCATGGGAACAAAGCAGATGCTCAGTCCTAGAAGCCCCCTTCAGCTTGGTCTGGGAGAAAACAGGATGGAAAGAAAGAACTGGTTATTAGACTGAAGGCTGAGGAGAAGAAATGGGATGTGATGATGGGGGAATTGGATTTCAGAGACAGAAGAACTCCTGGGATAAGATGAAGCAAGAGTTATTCTACAGGGGAGAGAGCCTCTGTTATGCTGGGGACTCAAGACACAGATGCCCTCAATGCCTGTCCCCTGGGGTGGTAGGAAGAGCTGTATCAGAACAGCAAACTCTGTATGGACCTCAACAGGTTACATGAGTGGCAAGGTCCATGTAGCACATCCTTCTGGGTTCAGTGTGGCCTAAGTGAGACCTCTTTTAAGGAAGTAGATTATACCTTCCCTCCCTTCTGACATTAAGGGCATAGTAGTGGGTCATGGCTCCTTAACAGTCATGCAGCTTCTATCTGTCCATCCCTTATGAGTCCTGTTAGCTTGAGTCAGCTGCCCAGAGGCCACTCGCCTCTGCACGAATTGCTCAGACCAAGTTCCTGGACCCAAGCAAGAGGCTGGCACCTGACCTTGGACACGAGTAGATTCTGCAAGACCCTGCCCCCATGGAAGGCCCCTTGGCAGTCAGCCAGCAGGTCTGCCCTGTCCTCCCTTCTGAGTCTCAGCTCTGCCTTCCTTGCAGAGCTGTGCCAGGATTCCAAGAGGTGCCAGGATCAAGCAGATGAGGACCCTGGACCTGGGGTTGGAGTCAAAGCAGGCTGCGTAAATGATGACTCTTCTTGTTGGGTATGAAGCATGCACACAACATACAGTACCCGTTGTTAGTACATGAGGCAGGACCCAACACATCAAAGGTGCTCAAAAAGTAGTAGCTGTTTGTATGATTGTTGTGTCTTTAAAGGGTCTAGTAGCATAGTGCCTAAGGCACTTGACTGCTAGCCAGAAGGCTGGAGGTTCAAACCCACCAGCCCCTCCTTGGAAGGAAGATGGGGCAATCTACTTCCATAGTGATACTGCCTCAGAAACCCAAGGAGGGGTCGCACAACAACAACAACAACAACAAACAAGGTGCAGGTACTAAATACCTGTGGGCTGTTTTGGTTTTCCTGTGCTTAGCTAGGCTTTCTCTTCCCTCTTCTAGATTACTTCCCCCATCACTTCTCTATTCTTCAAGAAGCCACCTGCTTCCAAATGTGCTTAGAGCGAAACCAAGGTTTTTTACACTGGTCCTGGCATCCAAAAGGATATTTTGACCCTGCAGTGGCAGGGGTTTCTCAAGGTGGGGTCCCCCAGCCCACCTGAATCAGAATCATGCAAGCGTTTGTTATGCAGATTCTCAGATCCCATCCAGAGCTGCCTAATCTCAATCTCTGGGCCTGGGGCCTAGAAATCTGCATTTTAAAATGTTCCCCTGGTTGAGGGGGAAGGGTTCTGATGCCTACCAAAGCTCACAAGCCACAGTCCTGTGAGCACTCGCCAGGCATCTGGCCCCAACAAGAAAGTCCTGATTCACCCATAGGCCCTGCCCCCTTTGGCCTTTCTATCAGGCAATTCAAAGTCTCTGGCCCACAAGTTAATGATTAACTCTAGGTTTCGAGAAAAGAAATAATAATAACCTAAGGGATAACGTAAAACACGAAACAAGCTGAGCAGTTCTGGAAGAGAGTGGTGGCAGACGGCTGCTGTCACCAGCCCCTGACAAGAAGGAAAGGTGGCTTGAAACATCCAGCACAGAGTCAGACTCCAACCTGGTCACAGTAACATCATCTGAGACTCGTGTGGATATCAGCCCAGGCTCTGAGCAGCAGCATCCCCACTGGATCCTGTGCCAGAATGGCCTGCACCAAAGTCTTGGAGCAGCCAGACCCCCCGCATTCCCAGCCTGTCTCCACAGGAGTTGCCACCACCTATGCCAAGAACCCTGCTGGATGTCAACGAGGCTCGGTGGGGGGTGACCTGGAGTGCCTGGTGTGCCGGGAGCCCTACAGCTGCATCCGGCCTCCCAAGCTGCTGGGCTGCCAGCATGCCTTCTGTGCTGTCTGCCTGAAGCTCCTGCTGTGTGTGCAGGACAACACCTGGTCCATCATCTGCCCACTGTGCCGCAAGGTCACTGCCGTCCCTGGGGGCCTCATCTGCAACCTCCGTGACCAGCACCTGATGGGGGTGCAGCTGGCCCGCCCTGACCCCGAGGTGAGGCTCTGTCCTCAGGGCCTGGTAGAGCCTGCCACCTCAACAGCAGGGCACCTCAACTTGATTGGAGAGGATGGCCAGGACGCAATGAGTGCCAACCGCATGGCTGCCCGGCGCCTGGCAGCACATCTGCTTCTACTGATCCTACTCATCATCCTCATCCTCCCCTTTGTCTACCCTGGTGTCATCTGGTGGGTGCTGACCTTCATCATTGGCCTGGCCTTTCTGATGGCCATCATCTTCTGCTGTCACCCCAGCAGCCAGGGCTGCTGCTGGCCCTGCTCCAGGACTATCTTCTGCAGAGAGAGGAAACAGGGCCAGATCTCTTCAGTAGCCTGAGTGCACTTCCGGCCAGCCCTTTTAGCTCCTTCAGCTTGTTGGACCCCTGTTACTGTCACAATGACCAGGGTAAAGGGCTATGAAGTAAGTCTGGCTCCCTGGGGAGATTAAATGCCAGCTGGACTTGTAAGCCAAAGCCAGATGGCAGTCTTGGGTCAAGAATGCTATGCTTGGAAGATAGGGCTTTAGCATGCCATTGGCGTAGCACCACTAACTGGAGGCAGGAAGGAGGCACAAAGGACTTGACTGCTACAAGGGGTCTTCCTGTTCTCTTATTCTAATGCTTGCAGCCTTTCTTTATATAACTTGATAAAAGTATTGCAATGTAGATTCTATTGAACAAATAGAACAGGACTCCCCCCCCCCCCTTTTTTTTTCTTTTTTTTTTTTTTTTGCAATTTTTTTGCTTGGTTTCATTTTCTTGGTTTGGTTTGGTTGGGGATTTGGGGTTTGGGCAGTTTGTTCACATTTCTGGCTGTTACCTGTTTTTCTCCTGGAAAGTCTGAGCCCTTGCCCTGCCTCCTGTGCTTCCCCGGTGCTGCCACTTTGTGCCCACCCCAAGCTCACTGAAGGGCCAGTTGTTTGGGTCTCCCATCGAGTCAATTCGGGCTTTGAAGAAAAGAACATGTGCAGAGGGATGGGGCTCCTCTAGTTGTGAAGGACTCATATCTTTAGTTGTCAAAGTTGGGGAGTGGTGGAGAGGAAGCAAATGGGTCTGGAAATTGCTCCCAGCACCCCCTGCAGGATCTTCCAGCTCCATGCCACAAAGCCTAGCAGAGAAGCTTGGGGTCATAGGGAATGACCCCCCACACACACACACTGTGGGTCCAGCTGCCCATCTGATGTACAGTCCCACGCCATAGAACAAGATCTTTATAGGGATTGCTTTCTTTTATTATTGCATCCCAATTCCCATTTGCGCTTTTGTCATAAAGATAAGAGGCCCCATAAATGCAACAGTTCTCAACAATAGTCCCACCTTTCCTGCTGTGCCCTGATAGTCACGGTCATTTGAAAGAAAGGTGTTTGTGTCTTCTCCTTGATGCTATTTCTGCTCCTTAGCACTGAGGAATCAGTCCCTCTGTTGATTGCCACAGTTAGGCCTCATCCAGGGAAATTAAATATATGAGAGTTCAGAGAAATGGAGGGTGGCACACAACACATCATTTCCTTCCGAAGACCCCAAAATTGGTACACAAACTTGAAGCCTCAGAGGAGCTCATCAGGCATAGTTCATCATCCTTCTCTGCCTCCTTCTCCACCCAAACTTTTTCCTCCTGGTAAGATGATAGCTGCAGAAGGGACACTCAGGTGATGGTAACTGTGCCTTTGTCAAGGTAGGATGGGAGAACTCTGGCACTGGTAGCATGGGGAGTTAACTTGACCAATTACCTAGGTTATTACTGTCATTGAATAAGGACTTTTGCCTCTGCAAGCCTCAATTTCCCCCAAGAAGATAGTTGGACTGGACTATTCCTAAGACCTCTGAAGTCCTAGGAGCTGAAGGCATTGCTAGACTCCTAAACAGCAGGCTATGGTTACATCCCCTCTGGACTTACACAAAGAAAAATCAAAATATAAATATGTAAATTGTTAACTGCTCTTAAAATCTGAGTGTCTTCTTTTTTCTTATAAGGTGCTTCTAGGCAACTCTGTGGCCCACATGCCATTGGCTTATTAACTCACAGGTGCCTAGAGGGGGTGGATATGAGTGTATGTCTATGAGGATGTGGATACTTGTGTACCTGCACTTTTAAGCCAGGCCAAATGGGCCTGAAGAACACCCTGTCTCCACAGGATGACTGAATGGAGAAAGTCATTCCACATTTCCTAAGCTGGCCTCAGGCATGTGCAGTTTGGAATGGCTGCCAGTAGAACAGAGAAAGAACATTCTCTCCCTACTCATACCCCCACCCTAAATCTATCTAGCTCTTTTGACCCTCCACCAAGGAGAAAACCTCCACCAAAGTTTCATTTACTAATGTCAATACCATATAGGCCACAATAGTAGTGGGTGTATATTTATTTACTGTTTACTCTGTGCCAGGAGTCCCTGGGTGGTGCAATGGAATGCTTACTGAAAGGGTGGGGGTTCAAGTCCACCCAGGAGTGCCTCAGAAGAAGGCCTGGGGAATTCAAAGAATCAGCCATGGAAAACTCCTATGGAGCACAACAACTCTACTCTGACACACGCTGGACCTCCGTGAGTCAGAATGCACTCAACAGCCACTGGTTGACCATGTGCCAATCACTGTGCAACTGCTTTATATGCATTATATCATTGACTCTTCATAACAACCTCAAGTGTTGTTGTTGTTGTTGTTACGTGTCGTGGAGTCGAACCCAACTCATAGTGACCCCTCCTTGGGTTTCCAAGGTGGTATCACTACGGAAGTAGATTGCCCAATCTTCCTTCTGAGGAGTGGCTGGTGGGTTTGAACCGCCAACCTTCTGGTTAGCAGTCAAGTGCCTTAGGCACTGTGCTACCAGAGCTCCTACAATCTAAAGTAGAAGCTATTATTATCCCTGTCTTACAGATGAGGATGCTAAGGCTCAGAGGGGTGAATTTCCCTGCCTAAGGTTGCTCTAGGGAGCTCTGGTAGCATAGTGGCTAAGACACTTGCCTGCTAACCAGACGGCTGGCGGTTCAAACCCACCAGCCACTCCTCGAAAGGAAGGTTGGGCAATCCTACTTCCGTAGTGATACTGCCTCGGAAACCCAAGGAGGGGTCGCTATGAGTCGGGGCCGACTCGACGGC